ATAGCACCCTAAAAATACACAGGTGGCAGGGCCAGGACACTGAAGGTAAATAGTACATGTAGGTAAAATAAAAACAGAACAGAACGAAAATGCCTTTTCACACAGGGGCAGAGTATATTACATGAGACAAAGGTGGAGTCACAAACGCTAACAAATGGGATCTAGTATTCCACATAAGATGGAGTTCCAAGCCTTTTGTTGTTTTGTTTCGCAAAATAAAAACAATACACATTCCGAGAGAAATGAATGCATTTTGTTGACATGTCTATTTCTCATTTACATATGTACACACGTCCCTTGAGTCGCCGCCACTCACACTGCCTCGTCTGGATGGGTCAGGCCCAAGGGCCCATTGGGAGCAGACCTGTAGCTCTCTGGGGGTTAGGGCTTCCGTTAGGGAGAACGCATTAGGAATCTTTTAAAAAATAAAATGGCTACAGGGAACATGAGACATGGATAAAGCTTCAAACCAAGAAGATGAGGGTGATGGCCTGCGCGGGGAGCCCTTTCCATCTGCCTGTGGACTCCCAGCTCATTTTGTTGAGTGGTAGCCGGTACATGCCTATGGGTGGGTTGCTCGTTGTGGTAAAGTGGTTAGCTGAGGCCTCATTTCTGAGGTTACTATGGCTCCAAGTTATTATCAGACAGGACCGAGGAAGGATCTTTCTAGAGTCTGTGCCTGCCTCTGCTTACAGATGTCACCTTTACCTGCATTTGTCATTACCAAGGCACGACTCCAGCCCCAGGTGTCTTTGTACCCTCTCTCACACACCCTGGATGAGCTCCAACATTTCTCAGGAAGGGATATTCCCAGAGCACGGGTTTCAGGCTTGGTGGTGGACTTGTTGGTGCACACTTGCCGGGGAGAGAGCCTAAGAAATCAGCCTCAGCAGTGCCAACTGGGAGATGGCAGGAGAGGCGACGGGAGTGTCTAGGCCTTTTGCACTGGAAACCTGTAGAGAACCTGGGCACAGCTTGAACAAGAACCAGCAGGGACCCCACGCTGTTCTGGGGCACAGTATCACGGCAAGAAGCAGGAACTTCTGAGAAAGGCATCTGTCAGTCTGAAGCTGAACAATCCATACGGTCCGTCACAGAGCATGGCTATATGCCAGGACACAGGCACTGGGCAGGGACAGCCACGTAGTACCTGGTGCAGTGTTGTCCCTACTGGCTGACTGAGAGTGGCTCTCAATAGTGGGTGGTCTGGTCGCTCAACTCGGGCATGGCCACCTCTTCCGCTCCTCCCTCATCTGTACAAATAGCCCTGGTTGTTTTCTTGTTTTTGTTGTTTGTTTGTTTTGTTTTTTTTAAAAAAAGAACTTGGTTTTTCTCATCGAGTCAAGATATTTTAAAAACACCAGCAAAGGCTATAACCAGGTCATGAAAATGTCGAATATTATCAAAGACGATACTAAAATATTCACAAAGATATTTACAAAAGCGATTCTTAAAATAATTGATTTGCATACTGAACACATTGTTTGAAAAAACCTCAACAACAGGACAAAGGAAGAAGAGGAGTGGGGCGATGGCAACTTTCCTTGTGCCGTTTTTTTTTAGGGTGACAGTAAGTCAACAGTTAGGGTCACCTTTCTGGTACAATCTATGTAAAAGTGCCAGGGAGCACAGAGGGAAACCAATGGCTGATGACGAATGAGGATGCTGACAGCGGACAGGAGGCAGGAGAGGGCCCTGGGTGGCAGCACTGGAGAAGGGAGCAAAGAATTTACGGATGAGACTCATGTGATTGGACAACCTGGCATCACCGCAGGCCGTGAGGCTCAGGGGACACAGACCAGCCTGGAACCAAGCAGTGACAGTATGACACGCCAACAGGGGACTCTAAGCTGGATGGAGTGAACAGCAGGACCAGAGGCTGCACTTGCTGGGTGAGCAGGAGTGTAGCGCGAGCTCTGGGTGGAAGGATACAGAGAATGGCAGGCAGCTTCGTCGACGCCACAAGCTGCCTGCCAAGATATCCTGGTGCACACAGCAATGGCCTGGGCTGGAGACAGAGGCAGCCATGAGTGGAGAACCTGTAGGACCAGGTTGGCAGCTTGGAGAGACATGGATGCCCTGGGCTCTTGCTGTGAAGCCCAGTTCCTGCCCAAGTTGCCTTGTGCTGCCCAGCCTCTCTACCATGTACTCCTACAGCTGGCCGGGGAAAGGAGAACTAGAACCCAAGGGGTCGTGGGTCCCGTGGAATAGGGTATGTATGGGCGGGAGGAAGGAAAGAGAACATGGAGGGAAATGGTTTGCTTGCTGTCCAGATGCAATGATCCTTTCCTTGGGTGACTTCAGAGCTTTCCACTGTGGTCATTTAAAAGCAGGGAGTAGCTTGGGGCTGCAAGGCTTTGGCTGCTCCTGTTGGGCTCTGGCTGGCATCTTCCCAAAAGCCCCAACAGAGGGCACATTTTGGTGGGGTGCACGCTGTGCACATGCTCTCTGCTCACTGTGAGGTTTGGCCCTGGTCTTAGTTGAGGAGCCCTCCTATGCATCGTCCTGGCTCCATGAAGGCTCTACCTGTGTCCCACCAGCCCCCCCTCAGGAGTGGCACGCCTTCTCAGACACAGCACTTTGTCTTTCTTCTGCTGAGAGTGTGTTTCTAGGGCATCTTGTCTTAGGAGTCAGAGGCCAAAGCCATGACCCTTGGCCCTGAGGGATGTTCTCCTTCTCAGAGGTTTGTGCTTTTCTGTGGGTGTTGTGTGTGTGTGTGTGTGTGTGTGTGTGTGTGTGTGCGCGCGTGCGCGCGTGTGTGTACACGGGGGTGGCCTTCCTCACTGCTGTAAACTGTCACCACTCCTCCAAGGTTGTCCACTTCCCTGGCCTGGGGGTGGGAGTGCAGGCTTCTCTCAGGTTCCAGTCACTTGAAGGAGGCTCTGGGCCAGGAGGCAGGGATATGGTTTAAAAACATGGAAGAACTTTGGGGCACTGGAAGGTCGGTCGTCTGGAGTCAGCACATATGGAGGGACCTAAAGTCGCCACTGGCATGTCTCTTGCTGGGACTGGATCCCCTCAGCTGGGGTTCATCTTCCAGGGGCCTTCTTCAGGCTCACTCTGGGCACAGGCCCTGGAGCATTCAGGCAAAGAGGACTGCAGACCCACATGGCCTTCCCTGCCTAGTGTGCTCTGCTCAGCCCCCAGCCTGAGGTCCTGGTGCAGGAGGCCTGAACATGGGCTCCTGTGAGGAAAAGTATGTGGGACAGATGGGGCAGGAGGCATAGTGGGTAGGGATGGCCCTAATGGAAGGTGGCCTTCAGTTGTTCTCAAAGAGAGACAGGAGGTCATCGTTGCTATTGCTTGGAAGGTCGGGGGGGTCCAGGTAGGAGAGGAGCTCGTCGGGGTTTGTGAGTTCCGGCAGTAGCTAGAAGAGAAAAAGCCCGGTTGAGGTGGCTGAGGGTGGTCCAGGAGGAGGAGGAGGAGTGAGGGGTCTCTCTGGCTGCTCACTTCCTTCTGCTCGCCTCCTGAAGTTCTACCTCAGAGATGGAAAACTAACGGTGTTGAGTATGGGCCTGCTGGCTGTCTTCAAGACCAATCCAGACCACTGGGGTAGGGATGCCCACACTCAACAAATGCCAAGGGCAGTGGAACCCTTAGCCTACCAGCAGAGACTCACTGGGCTGATCCCTCCTCTCAGGCACTGATGTCAGCCCCATTACAGATCAAGGGCTGGGCTTTCTTTTGACTGTTCTAGGTCCTCCTAGAACCTGCCACGAGCGACTTGCTAGCATAAGCCATCCGGCTTCACCCATAAGCACAAGGAGGCCGTGGAGAGACAGCTGATCCTCACAGTGCTTGCTGCCCTAGACTTCTCCCAGAATCTTACTGAGTCTGTGGCTGGCTGTCCTGTCCTGTCCCTGTGGTCCTCTGTCTCTGCTCCCCATGTGATACCCTCGGAGTAGGTATGTCCTATAGGGACAGAGGAGCTCCAGAATCTAGAAGCATCCCACTGGTCTGACTAGAGGGGGAGAGCTGGTGAGGAACCAAGATATCTGCAAACCAAAGGTAACGACACAGTTCTCCCTGTCAAGCACTCTCTGATGTCACTGGGGTGGATGCTGACCACAGGGCCAGGAGTCCAGTACCTAGGGGTTGGGACTGGCTACAGCTCCTAGCTCCTGAGGGGGTAGGAGGAGCTAGTGTTCAGTAACAGTCTTTCTGTGACCCCCTTCTTCTAGACCACTGAGGCCCCCGGATGGGAGATCCTGGAGTCTCAGCTGCCCACGTTGACCCTGTCTTCCTCCCAACCATCTTCTGTCATTCCACGGAGAGGCTTCTTAGGGTGAGCAATGGAGCAAGCGGAAGCGGGGAATGGAAACACATGGACAAGGAAACCGCAGGCAGACAAGACCAGCAAGACGATGGTGGGACACCATTCTTAGCCCTTCCCCTGCCCAGGCCAGAAGGTAGATACAGAAATAGCAAGCTCGACATGGGGGTGTGAGGGAGGCTGTGGGAAGAAGGGCAAGGACCCTCTTGTACTATCTCCAAGGCCCTGACTGGAGGGACCCTGCAAGGGCCTAGGTAGAAAAGGGGCAGGACTGGGGAACAGGACTATTGGGCCAAGGGGTTGATGGGTGGGGGTGGGCCTCACATGACATATCTCCGTATGGGGCATCCTAGTGCTAGAATCAGAGGAGACTGGCTGGGGCCCACCCACCACCCACCCACTTTTCCACCCGAGGCCTTGAGCCCTTAAGTACCCCCCTTCTCTCGGGAAGGTCCCGGTGCCATGCCTGGCCCCAGACCGAGGTGTGTGGTGACCCCAACTTACATCCAGTGAAGGTTCCGGCATGTCGGATGCTCCCTGTGCTCCGGCCTGACCCTCTAAGGCTGAGGAGGGGTTAAAGGTCAGGTCGCTGTGTGGATGGTTGCTGGGAGCGGCCTGTGGTGGCTGCCGGGGAGGCTGGGAAGGAGGAGGAGCCCCACTGTGATGTAATGGAGGCCCTGCCTGGCTGCTGGGGTGTGGTACGTGCAAACCTTGTTGTATGGAGGGATGGGGCTGGTCAGAACTGCCAGCGTGGGGCATCTGTGGAGGAGGAGAGAGCAGGAGAAAAGAGAGGTGAGGTGACGAGGCACAGCGACGGATGCCTGGAGAAAATGAAAACCGAACAAACCAGGAAGTAACGGACCTCAAACAAGGGAGCCCCTCACGAAGAACAATGACCTGGGGTTGGGGAGCAGAACGGAAAATCAAAAAAAAAAAAAACCAAAAAAAAAAACAAAACAAAAAATCTATCCTTTCCAGAAACTGACAACCAGGAAGGCTATAAAGGGACACATGGGAAAGGGGTCTCACTCTGTACAGAGCCTGGGAAGGGCCTCGAGTCAGGCCTAGACCAGAGAGCTCCCCACCCCCACACTGTCACAATGAACAACAGCGAGGGCAGAATGGACAAGCAAATGGACGTGTTTCTGGGAAGCGGGTAGCTGTTGGCGGCGTGGTGCAGGCTCCCCAGGGCTAGGGCAGTGCAGAGCAGGCGTGGACATGGCACGGGCAGGCGTGCAGCTCAGGACTGGGAGTGTGACTGCCCCCCCTCACCCCTAAGTGGGCCCCCGGCTGGCAATAAGACAAGTGCTTTGCCTGCCTCCCATCCAGGATGGAACTCATCTGATGATAAAATGGCAGATCAGGGAGAGAACCTGGCTCGCCAGGGGCACTTCAGGGTACAGCCTAAAGGCCATACCACCTTGATCAGTAATGGGTTTCACGCTGGGACTGCTGAGGAACAGGACAGTGTGACCCTAACGGGTTGCCTTCTAATTGGCAATGCATTGAAAATCAGTTGGCTGTGAGTATAAGGGTCTTTATGTATACACATGCTTGGTGAATGCTTCTTGCTGTTTCAAGGAGACCCTTCAAAGCAGAAGGCCTGAAGCTGCTTTGAACACCTCAAACACTGGCAAAGGCTTCTGCCTGGTCTATGCATTCAAACAGGGCCACCAGTCCCACTTACATACTGCCAAGGACACATCAGCCTGGTGACCCAATACTTGCTTGGTCTCAGATGAGACCTGCCCCATCTCCATTTCTAGGTTCTTCCTTGCTGGGTTAGCAAGCGGCAATCATGCCACCCTTGGTCTCCCAGACCTCAGTACCTCTTCCCATTCCTGCTAAATGCTGCTCCCTAAGTCTGCCGTGATCTGGTCTCTACCAAAAATCCTGGTGTATCCTTTCTTTGTGGGGTACAGGACTCCACTCCAATGTAACACTAGTATCACAGTGCTCCCCAGTCCAGGTCCCTAGGTGACCCACATGTGGCATGATGTGAGGGGGCTGGAAGAAAAGGCCACAGAGTGCTGAGGAGCCAGTTGGGCGTTCTTACTTAGCTCATTGCAGCAGAGTTCCCCGACACCCATCCTGAGGGAGCAGAGAGGGACTCCAGACCCCCATGAACAGCTCAGCTCAGTTCAGCTCAGGGCTGAAATCTTGGATCCCATGATACCCTCTGATCCTACAAAATCTCTGATCCTCTGTCCCCTTGACCTTGCCAAGAGCTAGGTCTTGTCTCAGGGCTCAGGGCACCTTGGCCTTGAGCCAGCCGCCACTGTCTCTGCCATCCTGCTGCCGGGTGTTGGAGAATTCTTGCATAAATCAGTGCTTGGCTAGAACCAACTAGCCTACCCTGGACTGCAGGAGAGCCCTCTGACCACCTGCTCAGACAGGGCCAGGCTGCTTCTAGATAGAGGTCCTCCAACCCCACTACCAGGCACTGTGGAAAACTCTGGACCATCTCTGGCCGGCTGGCCTTCCTATCTGTGGTCCTTACCGCTAAGGTGAGAGCCTAACATGATGAGGCCTTCAGAAGTCACTTTCAAACCCCCACTCCTTAAGAAGGTATGTTTGGTGAACACAGGCTCAGTGTGCCTTATTAATCCTGACCCAGGAGTATCTGCGACCTAGTACACAACAGTTTAGCATTTAAACCGAGGAGGGCTCGAGAATGGCCAGCTCTCTTGCCACGGTTGCTAGAGCCACGGGAAGGGATGGCTTGTGGTTAGCTCTGTGCATCTTGCTCCGGGGGGGGTTCCCAGGCATGTGGAACATGCCAGTAAGCAGGAGACAAAACAAGGAGGGCAAGACCTCAGTGAGGTCAGATGTCCTGGGAACCTCCTGTTGGCAGGTGATGACAAGACCCCGAATGAAAGATTCAGACCCCTGGAGACTAAGTGTCTAAGCATGGGACCTAATTCCCGGGGGCTGGAATCAGCGGAGAGTTGGAGGAGTGTAAGTGGAGCTTGGAGGTGGTCCATGGGGACGCAGCGGGAAGCCTGGAGCTTGCTTAATTTCAAGAGAATCCAAAGTTCTCACTAAAACAGTCAAGTTAACAGATAAGGACCAACCATGCCAGCCAGCTTCTCCTTTTTTTTGGAGCCCTCAGATCTAATTCTTAATTTTTCTTTTTGTTGAGGAAGGAACCAGGATACTTACATCACCATATCCCAAGGGAGGACACCCCTGCCTCAGTGAGCCCCAGATGAGGCTGGGAATGGAACACAGGTAAATGGGAAGGCTGAGACACAAGTTAAAGGTACTCACAGTTTCCTGCATGGGGTGACTGAGGGGTTTCTCGAGGGCAGCCATGTTGTTGGGCATGTCCGGTGGGTGAGAAAGCTGGGGGGGACCATGCATGAAGTCGTTCATAGATGTCCCTCCGGGATTCCCATGGGGGAAGTCAAAGTTGCCATGGCCCTGGTAGTTGTTTCCTGGGATGGAATTAAGATGGGGTGGAGGGAGGTCATCTAGAGGGAAGGTGGTCACCCTCAGCTGACAGAGTAAAAAAGGCAAGCTCATGCCCACCCTCGAAACAGGAATGGCTCCTGCTTTAGGCTATATAACGAAGCAGCCATGCTTTCGGATGGGCTGAGTACCCCAGGTATGTGCAAATGCACCACCCCCACCCCAGGTGAGTGGGCTGCTCTGTTACAGAAGGGCAGAAAGGCCAGAGACCCTGGAAGAGGCTCAGTCTGAGACGAGAACAGGAGTTGCTGGGCTGCTGCCTACTGGGGCCATATTTCCTACCAACCCCAAACCCAGGGGCTATTCCGCCGTGTCCAAGAGCACCAGGCTTCAGATGATAAACCAGCCTCTCCAGCCACTGTATACATGGTGATGGTGAGACACAATCAGAATGCTGGGATGTCAGGGTCCTGTGGCTGTGGACTAAAGTCAGTAAACTAATGCCATTGGCCCACTAATGATCTGGGCGCCTTGAAGAGCTAAGATGCCAGATCTGAGTGACAGGGTCACCGTCCTCAGACAGATATTTTCTAGGAACGGAGTGGAAGACAGCCGGGGTGGTGTCGAAAGTCTGGAATTGATGAGCATGAGACTGAGTGACAGCAGCCTGGGTAAGCAAAGGATAGGGCTCCCGTTCCTAGGCTCTCTCTGGGAGGGTGGGAGACGCAGAAGAGCCGGACTGGGAACCTGGCAGAGCAGGGTGTGAAATCTTTGGGCTTGAACCATTATTCCCTCAAGTCTTGAGGCCTGAGAACTATTTTCAGAGGGTATGTTCCCTCTGCCCCACCCCTTTGTAATTTTAAGACTTATTTTTTATGTGTACGAGTGGAATGTTTTGCCTGCACGTAAGTATACGTACTACATGTATGGCTGGTGCAGGTGGAGTTCAAAAGAGAGCATTGGATCCCTTTAAACCACAGTTATGGTTGGTTGTGAGTCATGTGGGTTCTGGGAATCGAACCCAGGCCCTCTGTAAATACAAATGCTTTTAACATTGAACCATTTATCCGGCCCCACTCTGCCTTTCTTCTACCTGATACCATCAATTTGCTACATAGAGATTCCAAGTCCCCAGTGGACCCAAATTGGCCTCTTCTCTCCCTATCCAATACCACATTACTTACCTTGGCTGCTGTAGTCGTTGGAACTGGTGCCCCCAGGAGGCGGTGGGAGGGGGTAGGGAGATGGGCCAGGGCCCAGAGCAGCGATCATCTCCATGACATTGGGCATGATCATCTGGCTGGGGCTCATGGTTTTAAACCGCTTTGAGGGGATGCCATCAGGGTCATCCTTGATGTGGAGGTCTGATTTGATGGGCACTGGCCGCCAGCTGCATGTGGGGTCAATGGTGACCTCTTCAAACTCGGAGCTGGTGGGGAGAGCAAAGGGGGCAAAACTGAGGCTTAGAGTCCCTAGTTCTGGAGACAAGATTATGTCTACCCTCCTATGTCAGAGCTGCGTATAGGGCAGAGGCCTAGTGGAGTTCACATCTTTGCTGAAATGGGGACACTGATTCTCAGAAAAAGAGCCTGGGGTTGCTGGACCCAAGAACTTCCCTCCACCTTCTACCCCCGCACCCCCCGCCCCGGCCCCCGCCGCAAAAAAGGGAGAAGTTTCTACACTGGCTGAGTTCTGTCCCTTCTAGAACACATTGGCCTCCAGGTCCAGGAATTCCCAAGGTCAGGCTGCAGGTTGTTGGTGGCTGCCTAGGAAGTACTCAGGACTGTCTACATCCCCCCCCGCCCCCCCCCCCGCTTCTCTCTCCTCCAAGCCAGGCTGGACCCCTCTAGTGGGGACTTCACTTACTGTTGGATGGCATTCAGGATCCCCCACATATACTGATCCACCTCTAGACCCTCAAGCAGAGCAGTTTTACTGAAAAAGAAGAACAAGGCTTGGTCTTTGCTCCTGGAGGCAGGGCACAGCCCACCCATCCCCACCATCCTGCCACTGCAGGTCCAAGCGCTACAGCACTAAGACCCGTGCCTCTGCAGGAGCCTGCTTCACCTGAGGGGTAAACAGAGCAGCATAGAGCCCCAAGAACAGGCAAAGTGAGCACCACTTACTTGCACACAGGACACCTCCAGGTCCCTCGCTCACAATTCAGTTGGAGGTACGACTCCAGGTCAAAGCACTGTGGAAACAGGAGACAGATAGGTAAGATCAGCACTATCAGGAGACACCTTTGCCGTGGCTCTGGACCCCCAGGAGGAATGTCCTGCTGTGTCTACTGCTCCTGTGCAGCGGCCCTCACCTACCATTTCCCTGTCCTTGAAGCCCCTCTGGACCCTGCACCCCATCCAATTCTCACTGCCTTTGTCTCTTACTGAGGCCAGGAGCAGTGTAGCCTTTGGTAGTCCCTTTAGTACAGCTCAGGGAACCAGGACGAATCTGATCAAGTTCAGCAGTCTGTATCAGATAAAGCGATCACATCGCCTGTCAACACCTACGCACTCAGAGGGAAGTCTGTCTGCCACTCAGCTTTCAGGATGAACCATGCTGTAGAAGACAGTATACCTGGGTCCTGTGATCCTTGCATCCCTGTTCTAGGACACATACCCTGGGCACCCCCCACCCTTTGCTGGCCTTCCTGAAAACCTACTCAGGGCAGGTCCCTAAACCAGCTTGTGGTGTCTAGTCATAACGTTCTGCTGGCCTTCAATAGCTGATTGTCTAACTGTATTTTGGTACTACCACCACCAGGACCCAGAGATGGACCTGAAAGGAAAAAAGACACCTGAGAGCATGGCTGCCAATGGCCATGATGTCCTTCAGGGTCAGCAATAGGCCCTGTTGACCCCTCAGCTGGCCCCTTGTCACCCTGCCAATTCCATGCGCCTGCCTCAGAGGTGCATTTCCTGGGATTGCTCACCTGAACATGCTTGCAATCGTGGCCTCGAGCAGGCAGCTGTATGCGCCGGAACGTGATGGGGCACTTCAGAGACACCTTGATGGCTGTCTGCTCCACACCATCCTCCCCGTTGAGAGTTGTGTTGCCCGAGGAGGCGGCCACACTGCTGAAATTCCGCTTGACTGCGGGGGAGGAGGCACATGGTGAGGGCTGGGTGTTCTGCTAAGGCTGGGTCTAAGCAAGTCCCTGAACGTGTTCTGGAAATCCCTGCCCCACCCCCTGCCCCACCTTCCACATGTGATGCATGAGGGAGAAAGGACTGAGGAGAGCCCCTTTTCTGAAGAACAGACTCCACCCTCGCTAGGAACAGGAACTTTCTGCAAAGCTCGCAGAAACCCAGTCGGGTGCTCCTCTGACTTAACTGGGTCAGCAAAAAGCCCTCAGGCACTTCTGCCCTTAGTTCTGCGAGTGTAGGAATAAAAGCCAGACTGCACGGTGGTGTTCAAGGGCTCGAGCGGGGAACACTAAGAAACAGAACTGTAGATAGCCCACAAGAGGTGCTCTAGGGCTTGGCATCCTGGGCATTACCACCTCTTGGACCAGCCCCTCCCACCCGACTCACTTTTTGTGATGCAGTGCTCGGCAGGTAGTAGGCGCTTCTTGAGGAGGCCCTGCAGCACGGAGCGCACAGAGGGCCTGTGGACCAACTGCAGCACGAAGAGGTGAGACTGCAGAGAGAGCAGGAAGCTCAGTGTGACCCACAGTTCCCATACCTGCCCTGTCTGCAGCATATGTGACCCAAGCTCCCCCATGCCCAAGGGTTTATAGGACCTCAATGATGCCTCTTTAGGAGAGGGTACCCCAGGACGAGGGAGAAAGAGGGGCTTGGAAAGCAAAATGAGACCCAGGACTAAGAGGCTGGGTTTAGAAATGACTGTCTATGCTCCAGGCTAACATGGTAGAGTTTACACTGAGAAGTTTCCTGGCTGAGGTTACAGCACACATGGCACCAGGACTAGGCTCCAGTATATTCCTGTTCTCCTGTCCTAACTTCCCATCCTTCTTGTGGGCCCACCTCTGCCAACCTCCCGCTAGGAAGCCTTCTAGGATCATGGATTCCAACTGTCATGCTATGGTGCAGCCTCAGGAAGCATCCCCATCTCTAGGCTCAATTTCTTTGGCCTCATCCCCTCTGTATAGTCAGACAGGACCGAGTGTTTCCTTTTGGATCTTTCAGAGACACCAACAGAATAAGGCAGGCAATTTACTTCCCTGTTAAGTATCCCAGGGAAGCCCTGTGTCCCAGCCTCTGATTTCTAGGGACAGGGGGAGAGTTCTGCGGTGGTCTCAAATCACAGACATTGGAGGGATATGCAATGTGCCTGTGTGTGCACATGTGTGCACGAGGGAGTGCATGTATATATGTCTTCTCCACAACCCCTCTAAGACAACACGAATTGATTTAACTCCACATTTAGCAGAGGTGTGTATGGGGGGAGGTGGTGAGGATATGAAAATTTCAAATGAGGTAAGAGTAGATCACAGCTTTGGCCTGGCCATTGGAATGAGGTGCTTGCGCCTGGGGTGGCACCAAGGAATAAAGGGGAGGTGTGTGGAATCCCAATGGAGGCATAGTGCAAAGGAGAAACTACTAAGTATAACAGAAATGGCCAGAACACAGCAGCTTAGATCACTTTGGGGGTGGAGAACAATGTCCCAGGGTATGTATGCCTCAGGACTCAAGGGAGACCAAGGCAACGCTCCCGGTTCCGTCTGCCCACTCTACTCACACAGCAGCAGGCGGTGACAGTGATCTGGATGGTGTTACGGCCCGGCTGGCATACATGCTTGAGGTGCAGGGGCTTGTGGGAGGTCTTGTTGTCGCCTCGCTCGATCGTGAGGGGTGTGGCGTTGACGCTGACCTGCACGGAGGCTGGCCAGTTGGTGTTCATCTGCCGATCCTCATGATGGTAGCACTTGAACTGCAGTTCCAGGTCTGACCTGAGGAGAGCATGGGATGGGCACAATCATCCTGAGTTCCTAGGGACCCTGCCCCGGGGCCACAGCCTTCCCCTCCCTCACCCTAGAACAGCGGTTCTCAACCTTCCTAATGCTGCAGCCCTTTAATGCAGTTCCTCATGTGATCTCCGACCATAAAATTATTTTGTTGCTACTTCATAGCTGCTATTCTGCTACTGTTATGAATTATAATACAAATATCTGATATATGAGCCTCAATGGGGTTGAGACTCAGAGACTGAGAACCGTTGCCCTAGAGATTCTATTTCCCTACTGATTCAAATCCATCCTAACATCCCAAGCCCTTACATTTCCATGTAAGCCACTCCCATAGCCCTGGCTACCCTGTATGTCTTTGAGTGACTCTTTTTCCCTAAGAGTCAGAAGGGCAAAAGGAAAGATGTTTGACCAGACCAGCAGTAATGCTGATTGTGGCCTTGGGGCCATCTCCAGGTGGTGGCAGGAACAGCATCTCTGGCCCATTTTGTTTGTGTATTCTGAAGCCTCAGGACTCCCATCTTAGCAGCTCAGCTACTGTGTCCTGAATGTCCCTTCTGTTTTGCCTGTGACAGCCACTGGTTGTCCAAAGTTGTGTGATTTCAAACACACTGGGAGCAGAGAACCACTTCCAGCTCTTAGGATGCTCAACTAAGCAGCTGGGGAGGGATGGGGCTCTACGTCAGTCTCTGGGTGACCGAAGATCAGGAGGGCTTTTGGAATCTATAAGCCCCAATTCAAGTCTTTACTTTGTGTGTTGAGAACTCACATTCTTTAAGATACTCCTCCAGCCTCAGTCTTCCCTTCAATCAAAAGGAAAAGCCCTGCCTCCCAGACAGAGTCTGGCCCATGTCTTGCGCACAACCCTAAGGGTGAGCAGTACCAGACAGTGGTCACCTCCTTGCCATCTACAGAGCTTGGGGAGCCTACCTAGCCCAGTTCTGCTGTTCTCAACAGCCTCCTCTCGTCACACTGGCAGCTTTGGCCACAAACCACGTTCAGGCTGATGGTGTTTCCTTTTGCTAATTCGTCACCTTGACAAGATACCCTCTTCCGAGCCTTTAGGGCTCTGCTAGCCTCCCTACCGTCTGGAAAATCCTGTCAACACTTAGAACTAGGGTAAGAGCTGTTCCTAGTTGTTGAGGCTTAGTCCCTCTCCTGTGGGTTCCTCGTGACATCCCCAGGGCTTTGCATAGTGCACGGCCCTATCAATGATGCCAAAGAGGTGATTGGCAGGAAGCTGCTGTTGGCACCTGTGCAAGGCAGCCGCCAGGCAGGTCACCTCACCTCCACATCAGCGTCTGATGAACCGTGGGCCGCAGGTGGAACACATGGTTGCTGACAGCCAGGTTGTGCTCCAGGCGGAAGGGCTCCAGAACCACGCCATCCCGCACAGGGAATGTGAGTCGTAGCTCATCATTGTGGTTGGCTGGGCAAAGACAAGGATCATATAAGTGGCAAGCACCCGGGGGCTGGAGTGGGACTCACTCACCCATGTGACATCACCTTGGGAAGCATGCTCAAAGAACATGAATGTGGGCCAAGAGCCCCAGAAAGTACTCATGTACTTAAGCACATGACTGAGAGTCTGTGGCTTCCTTTAGCTCAGCTGGCTCACCCCACCACACAGTCCCATTTCTCTCACTGGCCTCTCTGTCCCTGAAGCCCCAGGCTCTTCTTGGTGGCCAAGGGAGAGGAGGACTATGGACAGTCCAGCCCCCACACCAAATGTTCCAGGGAGAGAGGAATCCTTGCTTTCAGTCCCTCTGCCCTTTCTGCCTAACTCCTACCCAGGTAGCCCAGCTTCTGAACCCTCTGACCCTGCTCACTGGGGGCTCCAGATGGAGCTACCTGAAGAGGAATGGAAAATATGGGATCCTCACCTGGGGGTGGTGGCAGAGCGCTCATATTTGGCTTGATGTCAGGTGGGAAGGGTGGCTTGACATCTTGGCTGGGGGACAAGTAGGGAGGTATGCTGCTCCCGGGAGTCATGGGGGGTGTGGGGTTTCCTGGAACAGGTGAGTGGGGGTAATTTGCCACAGGAACCGGCCTGGGAGGCTGGGAAAAGATATCAGAAATAGGTTATAGACTCACAGGAAGACAACTGGTTGAAAATGTTCACATATACTCAACTGTCTGCATCAAAATCCAACCCCAGGGCTACTCCTCATCCCAAGGGAGGGGAGTCACCAGAGGACACTCCCACTTGCAGGATCCTTCTTCTTTTGGAGGACAGGAGGGACTGGGAAAGGACCCTACCCCTTTTCAAAATACTCTGCTCATCCCATCAGTCAAAGGGGACACATAGGCTGTGTACTAACGATTTGTCTAACCTACAGTAGAAAGGGCAGCTGGCCTCCCCACATTGTGATTCTAGTCCACATTCCCTGGACCTGCTGGGGGCAGGGAGAAGTCCCAGTCCCCAGGATCCTTTCTCTGTCTGATTATCTGTAGGGCCCATGCTTGTCCTTGGTGACCTAGCAGAGCAGTGGACTCTAGGTCCTGAGAGTATCTATGTCTCGGCAGATGACCAAGAAGTCTATTCTCCATCTGTGCATCCTACAAACATGCAGAGACGCTGGGGCAGGAAGGGAAAGTGTTCAAGCCACCCGCTGACACCTGCTGAGGGCCAGCTTGACTTTCTAAGACTAACACGGCACTCACCCTGTTGACGCTCCCTTGGCTGTAACTGCTGTAGCTGCTTCCAGAGAAGGTGTTATTCTGCCCATTAAACTGTTCTGGCTGTTGGAATAAAACAGGAATGAGTGGAGGGCAAAAGAGCCCCATGACCCCCTTGGAGACAGGAGTGTGCTGGGAAAGAGGGAACTAAGAAGGGTCTTGGGGACCAGGGTGGGAAGCAGAAGGCCCCAAGCTCTGCCTCTTTTTTCCACAGATGCAACTTTAGTAAGACTCCAGAACAGCAACAGGTAGGGTGCCGAAGTGGGAGTCAAGATGGCAACTAGACACAGCCATGGGCCACCCAAGCTGGCGCAGTGTAAACTATGGAGGGGTTTTCCCTTCTGAGAACGCATTTTGCAATAGTGGCAACGGAAAGGCTAAATGCTCACAGATCTTTATCACGGCAGCACTGTAAAAGTGAAAAAATGAGAGGCGAACACCGAGAAAGAAGTGAGGTAGGGTGTGATCAAGAACAGAGACACTCTGGAAAATAAGTAATAAGCATACAACGATGGGGGGGGGGCAGACTCAAGATTACAGAGGTAGTTTTGTTCTGTCCTTCAGAATTGTGCCGCCTCTGCCATCACTACCTCAAGTACTGTGAAGAAGAGAAAAGAGGACGGCCATCTGAACTCATGAGAACAGGGTCCTCCCCACAGATACAACTAAGCACCCAGAGAACAGGAGGATATCCCCCTGCCTCTTGATTCCTTCAGGAACACACACAGGATCAGAACGCTGTTGAAGACTGGGGTTAGAGATGTGAGTGACTGAAGTAAGGGGGGGACTCACCTTGTAATACTGCCCCATGTTGACCGTGGGGGGTGGGTACTGCCCAGTGCTGGGTTGGCTCGGCATCCTTTGTCCAGGGTAGTTGGGAGAAGTGAGTGGCCTTGGGGGGTTGGGAGTGGGGTATTGGCCTGGCTGGGTGGGGAACTGGCTGTTTGGTCCATATTGCTGGTTTCCATAGTTAGGCTGTAGGAACGGAGAAAGGTCAGGAGTAGGTCAGCAGTGATGTGTTATCAAGCAGATTACTTATCCAAATGCCAGGTCTGGGTTTAGCTTATTTTTTTTTTCCTCTAAAAAACATTCATATGCATATTTCCCACAAATATGTATGTGCACCATGTGTATGCCTGGTACCTGTGGAAGTCAGAAGGTATCAGTACCCCTGGAACTAGAGTTATGGATGGGTATGAGCCATCATATGGGTTCTGGTAGCTGAACCTGGCTCCTCTGCAAGAGCAATCAGTGCTCTTAACCACTGAACTATTTCTTCAACCCTGCCCCCAACTCCTCCTCTTAGCTCTGCTGTCTCCTACCCATCACAGGGAGAGAATGAGCCAGAAGGTATTGGAAGCCTCTGCTTTCTCTAATATCCAGGGAAACAACATTCTGCCTGTCCAAATCATGGCCACCTCTCCATGAAACTATTCTTTTGGAAGCCTGTGCCCTTGGAACTCCCCCCGATGCTCAGAGCTTCTCAGCTGTGTCTTTGAGGGGTTCAATCCTAAAGCACTCCTTCGTGTCTCCAAATCCTTGTGCCTCCTCAGGCTGTGTTCCCCATTGTGTCAGGGAGATGTAGGTCACAGAATTTACTTCTAAGAGGTGACAACCCTTGCAGCGAGGCTGATCTGGGTAGCACTGTCCTTATGTCTCACACTGAACAAAAACATCTAACCCAGTGTTCCATTCTGATCAGTTTCAACCCACTCTCCATACAGCTGTGGGAGAGCTAGTCACTGAAGAGGCCAGACAGCCCCTCCTGGAGAGGTGATTTAGAAAGGAGACAGTGCCACTTTCTGTCACTTTCCCTATCTGGAACAGTGGATGATCCAGGGCACCTGTGACGTAGGTATCGAGAACCGTCTTCCTGGAGTCAATGGTTCCTTTCCTGTCTATTCAAGAATATTCCCTGTCTAAGAATCTTTCATTATAGGCTCCAATCTAGTTGGTAACAATGTTCCAGTGCCTGGAAGTATACATCAGAGTGGGCAGTACTTAGGAACTTCTCATGACTTACTGTGGGACCCATTGGCTGCTCTGGGCCACAGTGAGCTCTCACCGTGGTATGAAATGGTTGCTACCCACATGTTCATGAGGCTACAGGAGTACTGTAGAGGGTCAAACATGACTTCAGCCTGCAACAAGGCTGTGACACTTCCAACATAGGATGAGCATGCTGCCATGAGGTGGAAGTCAGAGCTCCCAGACAGGGACCATCCAGCATTATAACCTGGACCATCTGGGAAGTAACAATGCTTTATGGAAGACTCCTTTGGTAAGAGCAGAGGGCTTGGCCTCAATCAGGATTCTTAATAAGCAAGTCTTCTTTGGCCTTAGGGCAGCAGCCTGGAGCTCAGAACATGCATGGCCAGTGTACCCACTGGTATATCAGGAGGTTGAGGGTAGGGTGTTAAGAAAAACAACTGTGTTGGGCTGTGCTCTGGGAGTGAAGCCATCAGCTTAAGGCCCCCACCCAAGGGCAACCAGAGCTGGGAGGTGACCCATGGACCTTTGAATTTCTCTCCCTGAACTGGTGCCCATTAGGTTGAGGCTCGGGGCTTGAGCTAGCCTCCTGGATGTACAGGAAGCACCTAGCCCCTACTCTTGAGCCTCAGGCTTAGGACACCTACACCAGTTACCACAACATCCCTTCTCTATGAGAGTGACTGCTAAAGGGACCTGTGGGGACATAGAGAACTTAGGCTCTTTGGGATAGAAATCTGATTCAGGCCACGGTCTTGACCAGCAAGAAGGACGTGATCTGAGAGGATGGAGAGCTGGGGTGCCATGTTCAGGAAGGGGCTTCATGGGGTGTGCCAAAGACAAACTTCACTCGGGTGGGCAGGGGGCATCTACTGGGCCAGGATCCTGATCTCTGTGTTGGCCAGCGGTTTTCTGAGTATCACTGAGGCCTGGTGACTTCCTTTCCCCCGACCTTACAGGGAGTTGGGGACAGTCTGCTGGGACTGTTTCTACCAGCGCCTCTGCTGGGTGACGTCAGAGCAGGTACTACTCCCAGCAGCGTAACTATCATGGAGTTAAACCCTTGGGACACACTGCTGTCATCTGATGGCCTCCCTGATACAGACAGCATGTACTAGAAGGTCTGGTGGTAGCCCTCGCTCCCTAGGCAGCTCCATGCACGAAGGTCCTCACCCAAAGTCATCCAGTCAGTATCTGAGCCTGGACAGGAGTGAGCAATCATTATGGTTTCTGCTTCCACACCTGTCTGCTCTAGGCAGAGCATTTCACAATGCCACTGCCCTCTGCCCACCAGGCAGCCTAGAGGCCATGGTGGACTGTCAATATCACTGATAAATAAATAATAAAAACCCCTGTGACTTGCTGGGGGGCTTTCACAATAGAAATGCCAAAAGTCAGGAGCTGAGGCTCCAACGCCTAACATTTAGTTCAAGTTCTCTGGCAGCCAAACTATGCCATTTCCAAGGCTCTGCCTATGGTCCTCATGTCAGGGCCCCTTCCTCTCCCATCTCCCATCTGCTGTCACACTTACCTCTCCTGGGTAGGGCCTCTTTATGCTCTGAATAGGAAGGGACTGGGGCCGGGGGCCTGGGTAGGTCTGCTGGGGCATCCTTTGCCCATGTGTGCCAAAGGGGCTGATGCCAGGTGGTCGGGGCTGGTTCATGCCCATGGGAGGGCCGCTCATCCCCGAGGGTGTCATGCCAGCTGCCATGCTGGCAGGGTTCATGCTGCCCCCCATGGAGGCAGGCCCCCGAGGCCCGGGTTGGTTCATGAATTGGCTGTTATACGCCTGGGTGGGACCCATCTGGAAAGAGGAACACACCTTCAACGGGAGAAGAAGAAAAAAAAAAAGAATAAAATGCCACATGCATTGAAAGTGCAGGGAGGGAAGGTTAGGGAACTAAGAGGGAAGGGACACTTTCCCAAGTGGCTGCAGCAAGAAACTGGGAAGTCTCCAGGGCTCACTGTTGCCCTCTGCAGGTCTCTTGGGAAAATGCAGCTAGGGTTTGGGTAGGACAAGGAGCAGTCACTCCAATGCACAGGCAGCATTCCCAGGGAGGCAGGCAGGGGACAGGTAAGTGGGCAGGGATGGGAGTGGGCAGGGAGGACACAGGAAGAGGAGGCGGATGAGGATGGAGGCTGAAGCCCTTTCCTGAAAGCCGTGGCCTTGCCCTTTGTCAGTGGTCAATGGATACACACCCTCTATACACTGAGTGTGACTAACACAGCCCACTTCCTCCTGCCCACCCTGTATCCTTCCTCCATGCTTCTGCCCTGCATAGTGGTGGGGCTCCCCTTTCCACACCCCACCCTATCCTTCTGAAGGCCAGAGGATCTGTGATAAGGCCTGGGTGAAATCCACAAAGGAGGTTAATAGGACAATAGTGGCCTCAGAGGTGATTGGGGACAGGCTAGTAACAAAGTGATTTTAGGCAGAGCCTACTGTTGGGTAACCAGGAAGTCAGAAACCAACAGGGGACCTCTTCCCCATATGCACACATGAGCTACCATCCCACGCAGAACACAGCACACCAAAAACCCCTGCCACACCCAACCATGCCACCACACCCACACCCCAACATACACCCTTTTAGGGACTTCCAAGGAGATGCATGTCACCTACACTCAAGATTTCCCCAGTCTGGGTGAGGCCAGACCAGGAGGCAAGAACCCTTACCGGTCCATACTGGTTTATATCCTTGTTCTGTGTCTCTTGCAAGGCTGCCACTGTAGCTGTGGCTGTGGCAGTGGCTGTGGCGGCGGCTGCTGCTACTGCAGCTGCTGCTGCAGCAGCAGCTGGTTGGGTAAAATCAGCAGGAGGCCGGGTGTGTGGAGGGATGCCCATGCCGGCAGGGGCACTAGGACCCCCAGGGTAACTGTAAAGGAGAAGCAGGGAGGAGACAGAGAGTAATCAAATCTAAAGCTGAACCTGGGACATGCTCGGGGCTGGGAGGAACACTACAGGGTTCTATCCACGCATTCTGTGCACCCAGCTTGTGGATATGAGGCCCCGCAGGAGATCTGGGACTCCTGAGGTTGGCAGCTATTCTTGCTACTAGTGATAACTAGGTCACTTGTTCCTCGAATTTTAGTTACCTGGTGCTAAAGGTTTCCAATAGCCTCTCTGCTTTTCCCTTGGCCACCACAACTTATCTTCTAGTGGATGCTGACCTGAGAATTGTATGGTGCTGTGTGGCAGAGGTGTGGATGTGGTTTTTTTTTCAGATTATTAATCGATAGTGATCGATTCCTTATTGATCGCTGATCGATTGATCGCTAGCAGCGCCAAAGGGACTTGAACCTGGGTCCTCTGGCACTAGAGCAGAGCGTTAGGCGCTCCTAGCCGCCGAGTCACGGCTCAAGCTGCTTGGATGTGGGTTTTGAACTACAAGGCCAGAAACCCAGTAACTTTATCCTTACAGCTAGGTGGACTGAGGTCAAGGTGCCTAGACAGGGAAGGGTGGCTAGCCTGCTTCTGCCCCTTCACTGATGCAGTCTGAACTGTTGGGGGCTCTAATCTCTATTTCGTCTTTCCTCTACAGGTCAGTAAGACTTAAGGAACTTGGAACAAGTGAAGCCCATTGTCACTGTTCTTCAGGTCTGCCAGTTCACCTTACTGACTTACAAGGAAGTGAGAATGTAGTCTTTCTACCCCACTGTCCTCATATCCTGGACCAAGCAACATGAAGCTGGAATTCAAGTCAGAGTCCTTTCTGGATGTAGGCAGGAGGGGAGAGCTAACATACCACTGCAGAAGGACACCACCCAGATTGGTCACTCACCTGGCTCCGAAGCCTCCGCTGCCAGGGTAGCCGGGTCGGCCATACATGTTGGGTTGGATATAGGGTTGTGCAGGGCCAGCTTTGGTGGAGAACTGTTGCTGCTGCCCTGCGAATTGTGGGGAGTTGAGGCCAGGGTTGCTGGTGCTCATGCCTGATGCCATGGGGTTGCCACCTGGATTCATAGGGTTGTTGGCATTGGCCATAGGGTTCCCGAGGACCTGTAAACAGAAAGAGTGGCTATCACCGAGGTCAGTACCTGAGGTAGTGTGGACAAAGAGAGACGAGACGAGAAGAGGAAGGAAAAAGAGCAAACCACCACAGGGTGGGCACAACAGAGAGAAGCATGGGGTATCTTGAATAGTCCCCAGGATCAAAATGGATCCAAAGGAGAGGGCTGAGAACTTCGGCCGGGACGGAGTGAGGCAAAGGGATAGCCAAGGCTCACAAAGTCAGCTCAAGTGCTCCCCAGGCTCCCGAGAGGGGTGTAAGGTACTTGGCAAGCACAAGCTCTGTCCATAGGGCCTGGGTGCCTAGCGGTTGTCTGTGGGTGTTCAGGGAAGTATGATAGCCCTCTCAGGATGGCCCAGCCCAAATCCAGCAGTAGGAGACCCTCTGTTAGGGCAGAGGTAAGGAGGAGAGAGAAAAGAGGAAGAAACAAGAATGAAAGCAGGCTTGATTAGGAAGGCAACTGGGGGTTTGTAAGGCCAAGGCACACTTCACTGAAAGGTAACATCTTGGTAAAACCTAATCCAGACCTTTCAAGGTCAAGGGTTCCCAGCTTAGAAGTCTGAGGTCAGTGACACATAGGGGGTTTGTTTACACTACTAGAGTAAACATGGCCTCAGAAGAGAACCCCTTTCTCCCAGAAGGCCTTGCAATGGGGATGGTCCTTAGAGACCCAGCTGTGGCCCTCCTGAGGCAATGTGTACCCTTTCTGAAGTGATAACGGTCTGCAGCTGGGTATGTCCTAAAACTGGCTTCAGACCGTGAGGAGGGCTGTCATGGCATGGTGCCCTGGAGAACCTCCCCGCTAGTGGGGAAGGAGATAGGGACATTTGTGCCTAGGCGCCATGGCAGGGAGCAGGACAGGTTCTTACCTGACTCTGGGATGTGTTGGTCACTCCCCACACCGTGGTGACCACGGACAGGGAGCCGGGAGGCTGATTGGTGTTCTGCTGCCAAGGGACCGAGTCATAAGGAAATGACCCATCACTGCAGAGAGAGAAGAGGTCTTTAGAGCTGGGGCAGAACTTAGGTGACAGTGGACAGTGTCTTCACCTCACCATCCTAGCTCACTCTTGCCCCGGTGAGCCCTGCGACCTCAGATTATGACAGCACTTGATGCGGAAAAGATGCCCCCTCCATGGCATCTTTGGGACCCTTGCCCATCACTGCAGGGGCCATACCTGTGGTGACTGCTTTAACAGGGCCCACAGTCCAGCAGCTATGCAGTGAAGAAACCAGAGTGACCTAAAGCTCGCTCTAAGCTCGTTCTTCAAGCATGTTTATCGCCCACGACCCTCCAGAAACAGTCAGGACCCAGGCACAGCCTTTTCCAGGGACAGCCTGGGCCCACTTTATAGAGGCCACAACTTGCTCTTCTCCTTGTTCTCAGCACCTCATGACCAACTAGCTGCTCAGTCCTACTGACCTGGTCTTTGGAATTCAGGCTTAGGTCGCCCTGTCACCCTTCCTCTGGGCCCAGGACCAAGCAAGCAAAGCCTGCCTGGCTGCCCTACCCCATACCCCCACCCCCAGACCCGTGCACACCCCTGACTGGCTAAGACCTTCCCTTGCCTACAAGTCAGCACCACCAGCTTCCAGTGTTGAATGAGCAAAGTTCAAATGCATTCCAGAATGATCTATCTCACCAGCTCACTCCCAAGCCTGCACTCACCTCCTCACCCAGTCCTGTACTGGTCACCTATACAGGGCACTCCTTCTAAGGAGCCCACCATACACATCAGTTGATGTGGGATTTCCCTCTGTTATGCTGGGAATATCACTGGTTAATAAAGGACTGCTTTGAGCCTATAGCAGAGCAGAGCAGAAAGAACTAGGCAGGGAAAACTAAAGTGAATGCTGGGAGAAAGAAGGCAGCGTCAGGGAGAAGCCATGTACCCCTGCCAGAGACAGACTCCGGAACTTTACCTGGTAAGCCAAGCCACGTGGCAATACACAGATTAATGGAGATGGGTTAAATTAGTGTGTAAGAGTTAGCCAATAAGAAGCTAGAGCTAATGGACCAAGCAGTGATTTAAATAATAGTTTCTGTATGATTATTTTGGGTCTGAGCAGCCGGGGACCAACAAGCGGCTTCCTGCAACAATCAGCAGCTAGGAATCCACTTCCTCCAATCCAGTCTCGGGTTTACAGCCAGCATTCCGGGAGGCCTTCCAGCTAGCCAAAGTGATGTGGGAGGAGTAAGAGGGACCGGAAGTGAGTTCCAGCATTAAGATTAGCCAGTTCACTGCAGTTCAACTGCCCTTCCTCAGTGAGAGCCGTAAGACATCATACCTGTGCCCTAGAGCAGCAGAACACCCTCATCTGTGACACCCTCTCCCCTGGATCTGCCCCCGCTGACCTGCGCTCACGTCCTTCCTGTTTCTCTGCAAAGTCACCCATCTCAGGTCACATAAAGGAGCAGCCCACGCTGTCTTTTCCGTAGTTTTTTTTTTTTTTTTTTATAGCACCTCACCACTCTTGGTATCACATGTTTGATAGTTATCTTCCCAGCCTCTACTCCAGAATCTAGAGTAAACCGAATCCAGCAGTTTTGTAGGACAGAGTGGATTAAAGGCCAGTGGCCAAACAAGCTGGACAGGGGCCAGGCCTTGAACTAGTCCCAAACGGGGGGTGGGGGGATGGGGGGGTGGGGGTGGGGTGGGGTAAGCAGTACTGAGCAAAATTTGTATTTTCTAGACCACAGTGGCTGAGTTCTGTGGCCTCTCTTCTCACCCTTCAAGGTGGTTAGAGTAATTCCCCCTCAAACTGTTCTGGACCCTACTGTCTGACCTGAAAAGCAGTCTTGGACATGTCCCTCACTAGCTCAGCCCACAGGGCTCCCTTGAGGTAGGTTCCTGCACTCTGATTTGTGAGACAGAGAGCATGTTCTCATGCATTCCCCAAACACAGTCGTGGGTCCTGACACCCAGTCAGGATTAGGGAGCAGACCACAGTGAATTGAGGTGGAGCTCAGATGGGACAGTGCTTGACTAGCTTTGATTTTTGGCATTGCACAAACAGCCAGGAGAGAAACGCTGACAGTAAGTCTATGATCTCAAGAGTGAGAGACAGGAGAATCTCAAATTCAAGGTCATCCTTGGCTACATGGGAAGTTTGAGTCTATCCTGGGCTGTATGAGACCCTGTCTCAAAAGCAAAAACCAAACAAAGAACAACCAAATCCTAAACCCAAATTAAAGAACAGAAAACACAGTTAGCCTACAGTGAGGATGAATACTGTTCTCTCAACGCACCTGCCACTGTAGACTGAGAATCAGCACCAAGAGGCTCAGTCAAGTACATCAGTGTGAGCACAGGCCTGGGGGGCAGAGCAGGACACATTCCAAGAGGATAAAGAGGTGTCCTTAAAGTGACGCAGGCTCATTATTCTGCATCCCCTTGTTTCAAGGGCAAAGAGCAGGGCTAGAACGAGGAGAGAAACAGGGTATGGCTGACTAGGCGGAACAGGGCCCAGGAGCAGAGGTGGCTGACTGGGGACTAAGTGTAGCCCGTGAGAGTGAGCCTAAGGCCAGCCAGAATGGGCATCTCTGCTCCTCCAGGGAAGGACAAGTCACAAGCTGGCAAACGGGGCCTGGCTGGGAGACCTTGCAGGCCATGTTTTCACAAAAGAAAGAGAAGACTCCTAGCTACCCATTGTCCTGCTAGACTCCCATTTGGGGTGTGTGGGCAGACACAAGTCCTCCAGTGACCAAATAAAGCAAAAGTCTGTCTTTCCCCCACCATACCCCGTCCCTCAGAACTGCTTCATAAGCTCCCCACAATCTTCCAGGCCAGAGCTGGATTCAGGTTCTAACACAGCAGCTTGACAGGCTTAGGGGGGGCCCTGTCTCTCACCACCTGGTACTGCATCTGAGGTCCCTACTATCCCCAGCACCACGGCTGGGCAGAAATCAGCTTCTTCCTGTTCCATCCTACTCACAACCAGCAGAGACAAAGCTAGCCAACATTCCTGAAGTGGGCACTCCACTGCCTGGCGAGCAGGTTCACTGTCCCAGAGCAAAGGTGGCCATAAACTTAGCATGCAACAGGGCCTATGGGTTGCTGAATGCACACTGGAGAAGCAAGCAACAGGCACAGAGAAGGGTGGCCTTGGACCTCACGACAGAGATGGCATCCACCAGCACTCTGTATGACTCATCGCCTCCACAGGCACCCACAGCATTAAGCCTATAATGTGTCACCTCTGTCTGGACTCTCACGTCTACCTTTCTTTGTGCCCAAGATCAAGGACAACCCAAGCTCTTGTGCTAGCAGGGAAGAGGGGCTAGCTGGGATAAGAGGAGACTAAGTTACAAAAAGGTCCGGGGGTGGGGGCTCTGGGAAGGGTGTCTCAAGGCCTCCTTCTCTGACCAGCACTGTTTATTAATCTATAGTATGGAGAGTCCAGATGGGTACCTGGCAGTTTGGGGTCACCTGTAAGGAGCTCCTCCCCTGACCCACACAACTGTCCTAAAGAGGGATAGTCAGAGCCCCCAAGGACCTGATAACCCCTCTATGGAAGTTCCAATCATGTCACAAACTGCCCCCAGACCTACTCCTGCCCTTGCAAACCTGCTCCGAAATCTTGTCCCTCTCGAGAGGGGCTGGGCTGTAGAAGGGCATCTCGTGCGCCTGCCAAGTGTCTCCTGCTTTAGGTGCTGCATTTGCATCTCAGGCCAGGGCAGCTGTCACCG